CAGTGCTTTAGAGACACGAGGTCGCATGTTGTAATCTTTGACTTCAAAGCACTTCATATCAGTCCCCAGAACACTTCTGTTTGGCCAATTCACCTAATCTCTGATTATTTGACAATAGGAGCGGCCATTGCTCCATTTGTGGTTCCTTCCGAAAACTTTTATTATGTGGATGACCGTTTCTAGAGCTCGCATAGAGGAATGGAGATTTTACGGTATAAGAGCACATGTGGTATACTTCCACAAAATGATAGAAACAATACGAGTTCTTAAAATGAGCGGAGCAAATGAAAAGTACTCTGCACGGTACATTACAGTTCTCCAAAAATCCGGAGGGGAAGCAGTACTGAAGAGGTGTTTCGAACCCACCAGGATGTACATCGAAGTATCCAGCCGAGTACCAAGAATAGATAAGAAGTTTTCAAATCAAGGTGAGCAAAATTGAGAATATATAAGAGATAATACACGGAAAATGGAGTCCCTCTGATGAATAGAAAAAATTATATCAAGACCAATACATAAGAAGTGAAGCGTTCGTACATAGCTTTAAACGGTGTGAAGAAGTACACGTTGGTGAATTCGAAACACCTCTTCAGTACTGCTTCCCCCCTGGATTTTGGAGAACTGTAACTGTACCGTGTGTGCAGAGTACTTTTCATTTGCTGTGCTAATTTTGAGAACTTGTTTTGTTTCTGTCATTTTGTGGAAGAATACCACATGTGCTCTTGAACCATAAGATTCCCATTACTCGATGCGAGCTCTAGAAACGGTCATCCTCATAATAAAAGTTTTCAGAAGGAACCACAAATATAGCAATGGCCGCTTCTATTGTTAAATAATCAGAGATTTAGGTGAATCGGCCAAACAGAAGTGTTCTGGGGACTGATATGAAGTGCTTTGAACAAAAGCAAAAATATTCCAAGAGTCAAGGATTCCAACATGCGACCTCGTGTCTCTGAAGCACTGCGCTTCTCCACTAGGCCATCGCCGCTTGCTGCAAGCAACTATCCTTCTCAACTTGTACAACAGAGCAAAGATTAAATGGTCCGTAACTCTCTTCAGAGAATCGTTCCGCAAAAAAGGAGGGCAGATTTGAACGGCTCAAGGCACGCCCATGTATGTACATCTCATTGCAAATGGCCGGATCGACCTGTTGGGGTTCCCTTGTAAGTAAATTATGAAGCGAAGGGATTGGTATGAAGCGGCCGTGATGCTACATGCATATGGGTACACATATGCAGCCGTACCTTCGGTAGCGGTTATTGGCAAGATGCCTACGGGAAACTGTCAAAATCGATATTCAAGTCATTGAGAACGGAGGCTCTTTCTTCGCAGGATTTTGACCGTTTCACTCCGTTCTTTCGCCATTTCCCCACTACATAGCGCCCTACTAGCATTTTAGGCCGAGCACCAAATCATCGTGCCAACTGCCTTTGAAGAGCAACCGCATTCAGTTCGCTTTCAGAGGCTATCTTTTCCCTCCGTGAGCAGGTAGTCAGGTCCGCAGAGGCAACAACTACACCACTTTCGCGGCGCAAAAACGAGTGAGGAGGCCCACGATGCCGTCGTTCTTCTCATTGGCCCAACCTACAATCATTGGCACCGCCCTCCATTCATTCCTAATGGTTATCTGATGGTGCGGTTGTTTCGCTGCTGCTTCTCTCCACGTCGAGTGGTGAGAGTGAGGTGATAAGGGAAAACAGCTGATATCAACAAGTGAGAACTCGTGCGACTGCACCTTTTAGCCTTGAGCACGTACATCTCACCTGGGAGGTCGCTCAGGACGTGGCGCGCTTTCTGAAAACGGTTTTTTTTGCATTATGTAGGGGCACGTTCATGGACTACCAAACTGACGTTCATTTTTCCTAAATGAATACCAAAAAAGGAGTGAAGAAGAATTGAATAGAAACGATTGGTTTTGAGCCCCTCTGGGCTCCAAATCACTTGCAACTTTGACCAGTTGCTGAGTAGAGGGTCCTTATAAAGGCACTATAGGAATCGAGGAGGAAAATAGTCGCAAATGGGGTCTTACTTGCGCACGTGATTGAGAGTGAACGGCTCTGAGCGGCTTGTCGGAATGGTTTCTTCAACGATCGGAGCGGTGTTCAGCTACAACGATCGGATAGTGGATAGCGTGGAGGATTATCAATCGGTCAGTGAGGGTGGGTGTTGATGGTTCGACTCCCCTAGGCGTGCGAGTTTTTGCATTTTTTTAGTTTCGCTATCCTCGCTTCCATAAATGTCTGTGCATGAGTAACATGGATATTTGCCATTCATGGGCAAATTCTTAACGGTAGTACCCCGTGAGTCGGTGTTATACTTCTATTACAATTTTCTCTTACAATTAAGAAAGGCTGCTACTGAAAATTGGTTTCTATGTGTAAGTAAGTGATATGATCATTAACATGGTACTTAATTTTAGCTGTGGTGCCATTTGTCTCCGATTTGGATCACATCAATCTCCCACTGTATTCATTATGTACACCCATAAAAGGGACGTTTAGCACTACTCTGCCGTCAAATCGCGTCAGCGCCAGAAATAAGTGTCAGAATCGTGATCAGGACCATCGATAACCCCTATAGACGAAGAATCGCTCAAAAAATTTTTTTCGACCTTCTTCGGTTAAGGCGGACCATTTGGTCGACGATTATGACCGGAGTCTCACACCTTGCTAGCGGCGATGACGTAACGATGACGTAGCGCGCCGCCGGGCAGCCGTATCGCGAATTTGCTGCACCGAAGGTCCTTCCATGCAGCTATAAGCTCGGATGCATGTGGAATACGTAAACAACCATCGTGGACCTTTGTCGACCCCTAGCGGCTACTCACCGACGAAGGTGTCATTCTCCTCCAGCGATAGAACAGATTCATTCAACTTTCTCCACTTTCAAATGCACCTGGAGGGATGACTGAATTTTTCTTTTTCCAACGGTGTTATCCTTGTTGTTAGTTTTATGTTTACTCATCAATGAATGGGAAGGTTTGAATAACAGGCAAAGCACGATTAATAGAAAGACTCGTGTACACACTCCAATACACACACCCAGTAAGGTCGAAAAAATTTTTTTGAGCGATTCTTCGTCTATAGGGGTTATCGATGGTCCTGATCACGATTCTGACACTTATTTCTGGCGCTGACGCAATTTGACGGCAGAGTAGTGCTGAACGTGAATCTGAGACAAATGGCACCACAGCTAAAATTAAGTACCATGTTAATGATCATATCACTTACTTACACATAAAACCAATTTTCAGTAGCAGCCTTTCTTAATTGTAAGAGAAAATTGTAATAGTAGTATAACACCGACTCACGGGGTACTACCGTTAAGAATTTGCCCATGAATGGCAAATATCCATGTTATACTCATGCACAGACATTTATGGAAGCGAGGATAGCGAAACTAAAAAAAATGCAAAAACTCGCACGCCTAGGGGAGTCGAACCATCAACACCCACCCTCACTGACCGATCGATAATGCTATCCACTACCACCACGCTATCTATTAAGCCATCCGATCACTGTAGCCGAACACCGCTCCGATCGTTGAAGAAACCATTCCAACAAGCCGCTCACTCTCAATCACGTGCCTCAAGTAAGACCCCATTTGCGACTATTTTCCTTTTCGATTCCTATAGTACCTTTATAAGGACCCTCCAC